AAGGAAGATATAGCCTAAAGATGCTTTGCGGGCTTTACGGCATAACCAGGTTTCATTCGCCCATGTCCCTGACCAGTTATCACCTTTGCCCCCCCCTCCTGTTGGCAGTCCTGGTTATAAACATCTACAGATATAAATAATAATGAGTGCAAAATTGTATGACTATGTGTAGAAAGTGGGCGTGGCTGCTGTCAAGAGTCATCAAGAGATTTATTTTTCCTTCCTCAGAACTTGCCCAAAAGAATTTAAAAGAACTATAAGTAAACAGAGCAACTAGCCTAGTTTATCAAGAGTTTGAGGTCTAGTGTATGGAAAAAATTACTTAGATTACAAACCAAAAGCTAAGATTTGTAAATGCTTGTGCATCACGAGACAACTGAAGAGTCAGAGTTTTTGAAAGTTTCTTTGAAATTAAAACATATATATATAATATAAAACATTGAATTACAATGTACATTATAATGCTAATTTCATTATCGTACATTGATAGTGAAGTTACTTAATTAAATTTTGAATGTAACTCAGTAAACCCTCATGACATGCACAGAAAAGGGTAACTGTAAACTTAGGGTAAAAGTATTCCAACTATCAATGTAATCAAAATATTGCTATAATGTGTGTGTGTTTGTTGTTAACTTTTGTTTTTACTTCAAGTTTGTTCAGATTTGGTGATTCGAGGGGCTCAGGTTCAGTTCCCATTGCCAGTAAACTTGATTACGCTTATGGCAAAGCTACTAAAGCTATCTGCCACTGTCACTAACTCTAAAATGCTGACTAAAAAGAATGAACTTGTCTGGCAGCACCAGCCAGCATATTTCAGTTTTTTTTTTGCTTTTACATATCATGATTTGAGAAATACATTACTAATTGATTAGTGGGGCTATTGATTAATCAGTTAACAAATACTTCTAATCATCCAGCTTTAATGTTCACCAGTTCATTTGAAAGTGAATCCAACAACTTTAAAACACCTAGAACAAATATATATACAAAATATCTATGTAGATTTATCAAGAACATACACATAACAATACATAACCTCCCTAAAATGAATGTTTTACATAAATTTTACATTAAAGAAAAAACACAAAGAATCTTCACTTAGATTTCAGTCTTTGAAGAAAGCCTAAGGACTAAAATCAATGAAAGTTTAAAAACATTTTTTAGATGTTTTGGATATTTTAAACAAGGAAATAAATTAGCATGCAAAACTAGTTTCTAATTAACTTTGATTTCATAAAGAGAAAAAAATTTAACCATGAAAAAATAAAACAGCATGGCTCAAAGATAAAACACCCTGGTGGTTTTCCATTTGACTTGCAATCTGTGGAATCAAAACCCACAACAGAGCATGCTTGCCCCTTTTAGCCATGAGGTAGTTATAATGTGACAGTCAATCCTCCTATTCATTGGTAAAGAGGAGCCCAAGAGTTTGTAATGGGAGCTTCCATTCAGTTTCCTTACTTGTTGTTAGCAGTTCAAAATTAGGGATAGCAGTAGATAGCCTTAGCAGCTTTGTCACAAAGACAGATAAAACAAATGTAATGATTAATGGATAAATTTTACCTCTTATCACTCCCATAATAACAGGATGAGGAATGGCTGACTTGATGTGGAGGGACTGTTCATAAAGTTTCTAGTGAAAAATATATAAATAAAAGTTTCAGATAATCTCACATGCAAAGAACAAATTTTTGTTTCAATTTGACAGTTATAATTGTAAGGAAACTTTTAATTGTTATATTGAGTAACTACACTTATATAATAACATAACAATTAATAAAATGTTTACAAAAACATACTGGGCTTTAAATGACTGAAACAAAATGTTTTGCAAAATGAAACTAATTTTAATATGATTTAATTACAGGATTATAATTTATTTTCCTTTGAAACTGAAACTTCTTTTAAATAGAACTGTGCTTAAGTAAAATGGCCTTCCCAAATTCTACTGCAAAACAAATACAAGTCAGAAATTTAAGTTGATTAAAATATCCTATAAAGTATATATTTTTTAAAGAACATGGTACTATTATGAACATAGAGAATGAAAAATATGTATTGTTGTAAGTTTGTTAAAACTTCCTCTCCACGATGAAAGAAAGCAATATTCAGTTTTTGATGGTAAGCAGAGACCTATATGCACACTTTCAATTAACATAAGTCTCCATACTGTATTGATACTACTGAAGTAGTATAATTGAGAATATAAATTTCAATGGGTAACACGGTTAAGAACATTTAATATCTAGTGAATACCTAACTTATATTTTAACAAGGAGTTTAATCCTGTGTAATATCAAGGTTACAGTAGGGAAAAATGTACACACTTCACATCACAAGCACATGTAGCTTAGTCATAAGAACATCAGAAACAAATCTAGGAAGAAACAAGATATAACCTATAATGCATAGTAGCTCTTTCAAATAAACATTCACAAGGTCTGATTAACAGTAGGGAGTGCTACAGTATATTTGTCCTGATGATATACTAAGCAATGATGTAGCTATGAGTTTGGGAAGCTTAAAAAGAGAACCAGAACTAATTGATCAGTAACATTGATTGGTTGTACATAAATAATGAAATACCTAACCATACTAGGTGATGATCCTCAAACATTCATTATACACAAAATACATCTGTTGAATAAGATAGTCTTAATCAGTGAAATTTGAATTTAATAATAGAAATGTATGCACTAATTTCAATTTAGATATTGTAAACTAGGATCCATTGTGATTTATTGTTTGTAATAACCTCTACAGTTTCATTCGATTGATTAATATTGGTAATTAAACGTAATGTTATTAATCTCTCAATGTATAAAATAAAGTTATTAATAAATGTTTTAATTTGTTAACTTTAATAACAAGTTTGTCTCCTTAATCCTCGTATACTAACTTCAACTGGTGACCTTGTGTACTTCCACAACATGCACGTTTCCTTTGGTATTATAATAAATACTATTCTGACTGATCATTCTAGATTAAAATAAGACACAATACAGTTGGACTCATTAAAAACTTTTAACACTAATAGCTATACATGTACTGTAAGGTATGTAAATTTCAATCAGATTTTAACCCTAAAATTATGAATAGGATCCATATTAACCTTATCATTTTTTAAACACATTTTTCTGTAGTAGGTAGAGGGACAAGTGTAATGATTTATTGTAAGTCGAATGAAGGATACAAGACTCTGTGTGAAGGTAAATAACCAACACTATTTATCAAGAAAAACTGATGAATAAAAGCTGATCATCTAATTGGTTGAAATATTGTTGGATGCTGAAATGATATGTAAAATAAGGCATGTAAAAGTAAAGGTGATGTTATAAATAAACTGAAAATGAAGCATGGGAAATCAGATGAAACACAATACACAGATGATAAAATAAGGCATGTAAAAGTAAAGGTGATGTTATAAATAAACTGAAGATGAAGCATGGGAAATCAGATGAAACACTGAATACACAGATGAGACTTCAAAAGCAAGTCCTGATGCTTTCAAAACAGGAATGAATTTGTCCTAAAAGACCAAACTGCATTCACAATGCATTCTGTTCTTGCAACTAACCAAACAGAAAATTGAATAACATGTGACAGTCATAATAGGGTTCTTCACATATGAATCAGCATTCATATTTACTATATGCAAAGGTAGCAACTGCCCAACTTGAGCAATTTGCTGCTTGACTTTCACCAATGTCAGCAAATGTTTGCTGCATGTGTAAAATATGTGATTGATGTGTTTTATTTGAAAATTTGTTCATTGTGACATAACTCATTCCTTTTATTTATGATGACATTGAGTTCTAGCTACATGTTCATAAAATGTTTTGCCTGTATAACAAACACTGCATTAACAAAAGTGTATTTAAGTGATGTAAAATTCAGTCTTTGAAATTAAGATATCAAGTCCATGGTAAAAAATATGCCACCACAAGTGCATTAGTCAGAGTAACACCAAGGAAAATGCCATGGTCCATTCTGAAGAGATTCTTTGACATAAAGACAGGTTTAATACAGAAGCAGAATATAAGGCAATCATCCTCACCAAGATAATAAACAAGATAGTTACATTAGGTTTTTCAATGTGATTAGACATTTTTGATCAAATCATAAAACTAGAAGCAACTTTCCAAGTTAAACCTCAAACATCATATTCTACTCAACTTCACAGGCAAGTTAAAATCAAAACTTGTATTGTTTAATGCTCGAAAAATAGTGACATAGTTGTAACAACTTTGTTTTCAAATATTGATATTCCTCATCACTATCTCAAATATATCAAATTTAAAGTAATAAACTTCACTGTCCCCTCCAATACTAAAACACAAAATAATCCAAATGGAAACTACACTTGGTTTGAAGGAGTGCATATTTGCTATGGTTTTGAATCACATTTTGATTAAATCAAATTCTATTAATTAAACTACTAAACTCTACAAGCTACCAGAGTCACTTTACAGAGTCACTCAAAAATATCTGAAGAAATTGGCTTAAACTTTCAAAACTATTATACAAACTTTTACAAATATGATGTTTACCTTGGTTTGTTACTGAATTCAATCATAACTGTTAATTGAAATAAGGCAACATAAAGGGATTATATCCTTAAACTAGTTTTATTTTTGTACAAGTTGTTAAATTTTTGATGTTATTCACAGGAAGATTTAAAAAATTAAAAGAAAAACAATGCTTTTCTTATAACTTTTTTTTTCCCATTGTACTTAACATTTTTCACAAAATGCCACAGCTTTGTCATATGCTGTCTCTAATTTTGAGGACTGAAAATTAAACAAGTAGACTTGTTGTAGTAGTTTCAGCTGCCATTAATGGTACATGTTTGGATGTATTTCTACAAAGAATCAACATAAATATTTAAATGTCATTTATGTAGAAGCAAAACGATTAAAAAAAAGTGGAAATTAAAGATAATGGCCTGAGCAAGATATTTTTGACAAGTATGTAATCAAATTTATTACATCTGTCTGAAATGCATACTAATAGCCGATTTCATTTTTTACATCCACATTTTGATTGAAACTACAATAATAATGAATACCTTTTAAAGAAAGGTACATCATGTAATATTACAACTATCAATATAAGTTCTGTTATTTTATATCTTGCTCCCGGTTGTCCAAGTCTGTCAGCAAAAGTTTGCAACCACGAGAAAAAATATTTTTTTTTTACCTGCCAAGGTAGTGTAAGATACCACACAACTACCTATCTCATGAAACAGTACATAGTTCCATAACCAGACACTGCTACAGAAAGTCACACCTCAGGCTGAATTTAACACAGGACTTCAACTGGCTTTAGTATGTGTTCCAAATCAGAAGTGAGAAAAATTCAAAAACTCTGTGCATATGAAATATATGTATTGTAGGTGAGTAAAATGTGTAGGACACAGAACACTATCAGGATATAACTTCAAGAGCCTTTCCAGAGAACAAAAAAAGTATAAGAAGAACCCATCAATGGTTTAAATGTCTGATAATTTCAGACCTGAAGTGACCAACAGAACATAATGTGTCTTCTGGGAAGGACAATAGAGTGAACAAGTCAATAAAGGCTCAAAAGGAGAAGTAACACATTTTTAGACAAGCCTCAATTCCCACTGAGCATGTCACCAAGGTACTTGTGGATGAAGCAAATGAAAAGCTAAAAAATATCCTGACAGAATAGGAATGAAAAAGAAAGATGATTTCTGTGGCTCTACAAGTGTCAAAGTGGGCAGTTCTCTAACCTATAACAGAAGAAGCAGTCAAACTATGATCATGAATTAAGTACATGAGAAATGAGGCAATCTGTTGAGGAGTAGGAAGAAGATAAGATTTTTGAAGGTCCCAACAGATAGTCCAACAAGACGGGTGTATGGCTAGGGATGAATGTCTGCAAGAATAAATGCCATAAGAAGAACTATACTACAAGATAAATCAGTTTTCCTAACAAAGAATTACACAAACATCACTGATAAAGATTGACATTCAATACTAGAAGATGTTTCCAAAGAGATAACACGAAAGGGGAAACCACAGTTCAGCAGGTCAGTGTGGAGCAATAAGGATAAATTGACAACTCAACAAAAAATCTTCATTAATACTTGACAAAAAAGACAAAAGAGGAGAGTAGGCATGCAGAAAAATGGTTCTTCCAAGATTGCCTCAAAGCATCCACTGCAAAAGAAGTGAAATCTGTAACTAGGGACTAGCAAAGTAGAAGAAGATGAATGACTTCTGTAGTGAATGCATCGATCATGGGATGATCTCGGCAATTGGACAACCACTGAAATAATGTCCATTAAAGTGAAAGAATCCAATGACCTCTGAAAAAAAGACTCTAAGAATGTTTATAACACCCAGTACATGACAAGCCAATAGATGTATGTGATGTGAATGTAGCCAAAAAAGTAGAGAGACTGTACCAAAGAAGCACACTTGACCAGGCAACACCAGTCACTGAGTGGGATCTGAAAGAAAATGACAAGAGGGTCCCTGTAAAAGAATAGAAATAAACACAAAAGAAATGAAGTCACTCACCTCTCCCACAATCTAGTCAGAGCATGAAGAATAGCCACAGGCGTAGCCAAAATCCTTCCGAGGAGATAATCACCAAATAAAGTAA